TATTATTATTATTATTTTTTTTTATTATTGTTATTATTATTATTATTATTATTACCATTATTACTATTACCATTATTACTATTATTATTACCATTATTACTATTATTATTATTATTATTTTTATTATTGTTGTTATTATTATTATTATTATTATTATTATTATTATTATTATTATACTATGTATTATTTTCTTAAGGAAAAATGGAAACTAATAATCCAACCTTTTAGCGGTCTTCTTTTAATAGTCCGACCTTTTTCGTTATTCATGAATAATCCAACCTTTGCACACCATCTTCATTCATTGGTCCCCGACCGGTTGATGACCTGCTATTCCGAGTTATTTTCTTATCTCTGCAAACTATTATGCCATAAATTCCACATTTCCCAAAGATAATATTTTGCAAAGATAAGAAAATAACTTGGAATAGCAAGTCATCAACCGGTCAGGGACCAGTGAATGAAGATGAGGTGCAAAGGTTGGATTATTCATGAATAACGAAAAGGTGGGACTATTAAAAGAAGACCGCTAAAAGGTTGGATTATTAGTTTCCATTTCCCTTTTCTTAATTGAAAACACTGCAATTATTATATTACTTTTTTTTTATTGTTGATTGATATATATTTATGTAATTCTTATTTTTCAGTCCGTATGAATCATTACATGCGTGATTGGGTGAGAATAGCATGATGGCACACCTTGTTATTATATACGTAGTATATTACTTCGTATTCGTATTATACATATAGATAGATACATATAAATAAGATGTCATTATTATTTCCTTAGGTGTAGTAAGATGTCATCATTATTATTTAAAATTTGGTTTGGTCTAACCTGAAACTGAATTCAAAACACTCCAATTGAAGTAACACAAATGCTCTAATATATATCCCGGGAATTACACATTACTATTTTTACTATTTTTGCTATAATAAATTACTATAAATTCCTTTCAAAAAATACATTTTAAAATTTATTTGTTATGTTTTACTTTTCAAGGATGAATTTATTTTCTGGTTGTAGTTGTTGCATCTAAATATCTTTTTGGGTTCTTCACTGATGAGGATCCTAGCAAAAGTTAGTTGGTGAATGATTGATATTGTACTTAATTAATCCGTTATATTTTGATTTATTATTTCTTTACTTTTGTTTATTTCGAAGTTTTGATTTATGGATTATTTTAGGTTACTCATATTATACGGAGTATTTGCTTAATTCCATCAATAAGGGACTCCATACTTATGGATGAATTTATTTGTTATGTTTTACTTTTCAAGGATGAATTTATTTTCTGGTTGTAGTTGTTGCATCTAAATATCTTTTTGGGTGCTTCACTGATGAGGATCCTAGCAAAACTTAGTTGGTGAATGATTGATATTGTACTTAATTAATCCGTTATATTTTGATTTACTATTTCTTTACTTTTGTTTATTTCGAAGTTTTGATTTATGGATTATTTTAGGTTACTCATATTATACGGAGTATTTGCTTAATTCCATCAATAAGGGACTCCATACTTATGGATTTATAGAGTCTCCAGCACATTAATGCCAATTAATTATTCTATATATACCTACCGTAATTTTATTGTATCCAATAGCTACTTAATAATGAATTAAAGGCAGTATTTATTTTCTATTAATGGCATCCATATTACACGATTCATCATTGCATCATATAATAGCTACTTAATGATTAATTACCGTATACGTTTATTTTCCATAAATAACATCCGTATTACATCTTTGTTTGGGCGGGATTTTGAAATGAAAAAGTCAAAAATAGCCCTAAGTTGGGCGGCATTTTGGAACAAAAAAGGCCTCAGACCTTGTTCCTTTATATTATTATAGATATATATATATATATATATATATATATATATATATATATATATATATATATATTGATTCAAGTGAGAAATGAATCTAATGTGAGAAATGAGAAACATTTTAAACCCTACGATCTAGAATAAAAAATCACACGTAGTAGGGGTTGTTTTGGAATTTGACTTTAAAATCATTTATTGCCAAGCTGATTCAAACCGTTGTCAATTTTATTTAAGGAAGTATCATTATTGAAAGTTATTACTTTTTCTTATTTAGAACCGACTAGCTCCCCATTATTGAAAGTTTTATATTTTTTTTCAATATATCACTTATTTTATTTACGTCTTTAATTATATCACTTAAGTTAATTCCCTCACTAAAAAGATTGTGCAATAAAACGTACTATCAGCGCATTGATTTTTTAAATAATATTATGCACTTTCGAGCACCTTTAGCTGCAGTATCTAATATGTGTTGTTGCATCACTTGCATGGTTGTATATGTGGTGTATGTATGTGGTGCGTATCTTCAAATTACTAGTTGCCCACATTACGTAATAACTAGATTTACGTTTCGTATAATGGATTGATCTTATCGCCACAAGTTGCACCATTGAATAAGTTGTGTTGCAGTGTTTCATACCTTTGAAGTGCATCAAACAATATTTATATTCACTTTTTTCTAGTTTTTGTCATTTTTAATCCAAAATATTTCACTATGCTTTACAAGTGCACTATTTACATTAATCGATGACATCATAAAATGTTACTTCCACTATCCCATTTTAGATGTCTTACTTTTCATGTTGGATCATCGTAAAATAAATGTTACATTTCTTTTTTTGAAAAGAAATATGCGGTCCACGTCGTCATTTCACTTTATTATAATCAAATCTCAACCACACTTTTTACTTTTTCAAACACTTTATTAATAATTGTGTCATACAGACACATAAAATGGGATGGGGATGAAGGTAGTACTTGATATCCTAATTTTAATGCATAAACACATAGATAAGAGATCAAATACAAACCATGCTTAAAATACTAACCTACAAACTCAATAATGTGCAACATTTAGAACTTCAATATGCAGTACAAATAATGTAAAGATGCACACTGTGAATTTCAATATGCAATACAAATAATATGCAACACTTTGAACTTTAATCTGCAGTACAAATAATATGCTGCACTTTGAACTTCAATATGCAGTACAAATAATGTAAAGATGCACAATTTGTGACAATTTGTAGGTTAGCATGGGAAGACTAGTTTGTATGTGATCCTACCCCTAAACTCATAAAGCAAAACTCTAGTATTATTATTGAATAGAGTACACTTAATAACATTATTGTTGCACCAATTGTGGATACAATGTGCAACTTCTTGACGTAAAACTTTAGTATCTTCTAATTGATTATATAATGAAAGCATATTTTAAATATTTCACAATTATGTAGTGATATAATAATAAAAAACTATTTGGTAGTAGTACACCCTTATTTGTACGTTTATTAGATTCACCCTCAATAATAAAATCTTTTGCACACAATTGGTCTCATTTTGCAGTGTGTGGTTGTGTGCTGCTCTATATTGACTTTCAACTTTAAATTAATCAATTGGTGCACCAACTTACTCGAATATTGCACTATAAACTTCTATATTTTTCTTGATTTCTTAAATATAATTAACCACTAACATTAATAAAAAAGAGGCATCAGTTACATACGCAAGCGTGCATCAATCTTTCCTTTTTAATGACCTAGCACATTTTACTAATAAGCCCCTTACTTTAATTATTTGACATGAGTCGTAGACTAGTTTTATTTTCTTTCCTTTTAAACACAGCATGTACTATCTCTATTGTGTACCATACGATTGCTTTGATCAACACCCAAGATTGCTTCTCATTTCTCACCTAATGATGTCTTCTCACCGAAACCGCACCCTATATACACGATCATGTCCAGCTGGAGGGATAGGACCCGCCGTCCGGCCATCGCCATTTGGGGCCCTTACCGATGAAATTTTTTGCTGAAATTTTTTGAGCATGTTCTTCATGAAATCTAGTTTATCTATACCAAATTTCAGCTAAAAATTCAATCAGGAAGACAGTCAAATGATTTTTGGAAGTTAACTGCGCAGTTTATATACATATAAAACGCAGTTATCTTCCAAAAGTACCTGATCTTTTCTGTATATATATATATATACATACATACATATTATATATGTATGTGTGTGTGTGTTTAATTGTGCATTTGGACTAGTAATAGAAAAATGTGTAATAATGTGCATTTGATATTCTTGTTTCGGAAATACATAACAATCACAGTAATAAGTGTATTACATACATAATAGATATAAGAACATTAAAGTCGTATAGGATCACGCGAATGAAATTGTCGATTTATGATTGTGAATGGAGGGCGACGGCATACGGCGATGACGGCAATAGCCCTATCACTAGCGTTGTAATTGTATGGTTTCAACAACATTTCATAAAAGACATATGCGTCCAAGATTAATCATATTTAGAGCATCCACAATGCAATAGTCTCTAGTCTCAATAAATCATGCCAAATGTCAAATAAATAAAAGACTTTCTAATACACATAATAGGAAGTGCATTGACTAGATAATAAACTAACGAAGGAGCTACCAATGCGTAATGTCTCACGGCCTAATTTAATGCTTACATGGAATTTAGTATGTATTTATTAATATAATAGTAAATTATAATTCTGCCTACATCGAATTTTATGTTCTATGCCGAAAATCATGTATCCGAGTCAGCGTGTCTTGTAGCCTTTCTAAAATCAAACTTCCGGCATCACACTGTGGAGTTTTATTTTTGACATGTCAAATTTCCGTGTGTGAAGACTACCTGCATTGGAAGAATAACTTAATATACAAAGTCTAATTTTAATGACATGACAGATTTTAGCTACACTAGACATAGGGCATTGCGGATGCTCTTAAAGCCCTAATTAAAAAATTATCTTCTATTTTAGTTCCATTTAGGAAATTCACCCTTAATTGAATAAAAGATCAATCATATTTTTTGAAAAAATGGAACATAATCACTTTTTGTTTTTGACAGAGATGTAGGGAAAATTCTTTTTACCTTGGAAAGTGGAAACACATTAGGTTCATTGCAAAATATTAGCGCGAAAAAGTTATCAACCGTTTCTTCTATCTACGGCAGAAAAAATGGCTGTGTATCTGCGGCAGCCGTACTGCGCCTACCCCCTGTCCTTCCGCAACCATAAATCCACTGCCTTCCGCCCTCTAATAATCCCAAATAAATCACCCATCCTTACTCATCCCCTCAGAACTCACTGTTCACCACCGGGTGCCGCATTGTCTCCCCTCACTTCCATTTCGCACCTCAAACCCTACCTCAAATCAGAGTGGCAACCGATCCTCTACGGATGGCTATGCAGTTCGATCTCTGTTTACTGTATTTCCGAACTCGTCCCCGCTGTCGGGAAGCTCTCTGCCTTGATTTCCCCAACGGACGGTATAATAATTATAAGGGAAAGAAGTTTGATCTTAGGGGCTCTCTATTTGGTCAGACTCGTTTCTAATTACCTCCAACAGGATTTCCTCTGGATAGCCGCATTGAGATGTGCTTATAAGGTTCGAGTTTTCGTGTTCCGGAAGGTTTTGGAAAGGGATTTGGGATTCTTTGAAGGCGAGAGTGCGGTTGCATCTGGGGATATTGCATACAGGATCACTGCAGAGGCTTCTGATGTTGCAGATACCGTTTATTCTCTCTTGAATGTGGGTTCTTTTATCTATCCCCTGTTTTTTCTTCATTCTCACTCACCTTTTTACACGGTAGTTTACTTTTTCACAGACAACCGTACCCTGCACCTTACAGCTGATCGCAATGGCATCTCAGATGCTGGCAATCAGTCCTAGCCTATCATTACTTTCAGCGATGGTGAGAAACAAAAATTACTATTTGTTATTTCTGTTGTATTTCCTTACCATAATTGGGATTCTTCAGGATCCGAGTAGATGATTTCTGGTCATTTTTTAAGGTTATTCCACTAATGGTTTATGTCATGGGATACCTTGGTGAGAAGCTTCGGCATATATCTAATCAGGCACATCTTACCATTGCTGATCTATCTGCCTACCTCCATGAGGTACTCTTTTAATTGAGGAAACATCCATAAATGATCCTGAACTTTTAACACAAAGTGTGATTCACCTGATATGTCACAAGCCTTTCATGACCTTTTTTGAAAGTTCAGGGTCATTAATATGTTACTGGTGTTATTGAAGGGCTAAATGAGAAATTTGAAGTGTAGGTTTTTTTTTTTCATTTAGCCCTTTATTATCATTATCCCGTAGATTTTTCGTGAGTGTCCTCTATTCATTAAACTCATACTCGTAATTAAATTAGTCTACTTGTAATGAAGCGCTTGTGCTGATATATTACATAGAAAAAATGGTTTTTCTGTTAGGTACTTCCATCCATTCTTTTTGTGAAGGCAAGTGATGCAGAAAGTTATGAAAGTTCTAGGTTTGAGTCTCTCGCCTCAGATGATCTATCAGCAAGTTTGGGAAGGAAAAGAATGAAGGCATTTATTCCACAGTTCGTGCAAGCTGTGTACTTCGGGATCTTGTTTACATTTTTTGCTAGCTCGCTGATTATTTCAAGAGGGTCTTTTGATTGTTCTGCCATGGTTTCTTTTGTAACATCATTGGTTTTGTTGATTCAACCAATTCAGGTGATGGTATTTACCAATTTACCAAATAATTTGAAATTTGTCTATTTAATCATTGTGTGCTCTGTATTGACAAAAACATATGGCTCAATATTGGTTCCTAAGGTTGCCTTGAAACACCTTTATTTAACTATCTTTGTGAAAAGTGAAGTGGCTGACTGGCTGCATATCTTTCAGCATTTTTGTTGTTGTCAATTGGCTTATTAAAGTTTGGCTTAATACTCCCTCCGTCCCACTAAGATTGTCCCAGACACTATTCACTTGGTCAACACAAATCTCTTAATTTCTTACTTTATATATCAAATTTTTATCATATTCGATTCTGGTTTTTTGCGATTTTGTAAAGCTTTTAATGTAGTTTCTCAATATGTAATTTTTATTTTCTAAAAATAATTTGACTACGAATAGGGATCTGTTTGCTTTATCGTCGGTCAAGCCTCGCAAACCGAATTGTCCCAAACATAGTGGGACGGAGGTAGTATATTATTTTATAAGGTCTCATTTTATTTGTTGTAGTTTTGTTATTCGTGCTGTTATAATGGGTGGATACCACTGCTCCAATTATGCAGGACATCGGAAGAGCATACAATGAGATAAAACAAGGAGAGCCGGCTATTCAGCGTTTATTTAGTCTGACGAGTTTCAAATCCAAGGTAAACTTTTCTGATGTCAAAGTTAATGATGACACATATGTATACACTTGTGTTAAGAATTTGAGGATGTAGAAAGAAATGAGTAAATGAATGTTTTTTTGAGAACTTGTGCTTCATACAGTCATCTTCGGTTGTAGACACCACCACCATCTGGTTGCTAAAGTTTAAAGTTTTACTGGTCTGAGGCCTCTTTTATCTGAACAATATCAGGTAAATGATCATAAACAAGATGTCGTGAACTTGGACTGCATTGCTGGAGAAGTAAGCTTTTCTGATATATCTTTTAGATATGGAGAGAGTGGACCCCTAATTTTGGAAGGCTTGAATTTTCATGTTAAAGCTGGACAGACAGTTGCTCTTGTTGGACCATCTGGAGGAGGAAAGACGACTATTGTAAAACTCCTCCTTCGCCTCTATGATCCTTTTCAAGGTATGCTCTCTTAGTACTGCGGATTTATTAAAACTGGTAAGGTCATGAATTGTTTTTTATTTCTTTGTAACTTGATCAAGTTATGCTTGTTTACCTTGTTTAAGGTACCATACAGGTAGATGGGTATGATATTAGAAATATTCAGCTGGATAGTTTGAGGAGACATGTGGGTCTTGTCTCTCAAGATACTGTAAGTTATATTAACTGTTTTTTGTGATCCAGTTCAGTGCTTAATGCATGTTTGGATGTATTTCCTGACCAGTGAAAAGCGCTGCTTAGAAGAAAAAAAACTTATACACGTGACTACATGAGAAAGATGTTTCCAACAGTGCTTCTTAAGAAAGTTTTTTTTTTTTAATTCTGACCAAAAACACTTCTGGAATTGTAATTCCTAATTTATTACTGCGTACATTTTTTAGTAAAATGTTTTTAGTAGAACTGCTTTTATTTAGCTCCCCATTTGGGATCCATCTACCAGCTTTGTTATGTTCATAAGCAGAAATAGCTTTTGACTATGTATTTTAACTGAAATGGATATTATAAAACACTTCTCCTTCTAACAAATTCAGTGGATTTAGTTAGCCATTTCAGCCAAATGAACCTTCACCAAATGGGTCCTGAAAACTTTTAAAAATCACGTTTGAAAAAACACACCCCTTAATAACTATTTTATTTAAAAATACAATATGCTAAAAGCCTAAAATTCATATTAAGCAATATTAAGCTTCACCATTATATTTTGGGGAATAAATAAGGGATTTCAGGCATGGCATCTGATTTGTCTATGTTTTTTAATATCAAAGAAAATTGTAAAGTCATGCAGCATTTATTTAGTAGTTGATCTGGCATTCATTTAACTTTCAGACACTCTTTTCTGGTACTCTTGCCGAGAACATTGGGTATAGGGATCGAATGACAGGTATTGATATGGATAGAGTTGAACTTGCAGCTAGAACTGCCAATGCTGACGAATTCATTAGAAAACTACCCAATGGGTATCAAACTAACGTCGGCCCCCGGGGCTCTGCTTTTAGTGGTGGCCAGAAGCAAAGGTATGTATTATTTACAAGTTACAACACATTATGGATTCTTTGCAACTACATTCTAAGAAAAAATCAGCGTTAGGCTGGCGTCTAGCGCCTAACTGGGCGTGTTAGTTTGCACCTAAATCTATTTGTATGAAGGGCCTTTTGGAAGATATCCATACACATCCCCACGGGCTTCATCCAAATCGGACAATATCAAAGTTAAGGTACATTTGTGGTCCAAATGGACTTTGGTGGAGTTTTTAAAGAACAAAGCTTCATCGGGGGGGCATAGTGGTCCAGCGAAGCCCATATGCGGGTCTCGTAAAAACAGATACTGAAATTATCACTATCTATAAATCTGATACTGTGGTCACTGGTCATAACCAAATTGGTAGAGTATTTATGGTTGAGTGAGATACTTGAGAAGTTATGTTTCTGTGGTGCTTTGCCAGAATATCCATTGCTAGAGCAATTTACCAAGATCCTTCCATTCTAATTCTGGATGAAGCAACTTCTGCATTAGACAGCAGATCAGAGTTGATGGTGAGGCAAGCTCTGCAACGTCTGATGCAAAATCGTACTGTAAGCTCTTAGTTCTGATTTAGGCTTATTTGGTAGCCATTTACGGACCACCATCTCTTTTCCCAGTTAGTTCTGATTTAGGCTTATTTGTTAGCCTTATCCGAACTTTTCCTATTATCAGTTTCTCAGCCGAATAAGTTTTCTAAAATTGACTTTTATGAAACAGTTTTCCTTTAATCCTGACAGTCCCTACATCCTTTACGGGTCTATGTAGGTGCTAATCATTGCCCACCGCTTAGAGACAGTGCTAATGGCCGAACGAGTTTTCCAGTTGGACAATGGCAGGCTGCAGGAGATACCGCTCTCCTCACTCTTAGATTCTCAACAAAGCAGTTTCCTGACTCTAGCAATCTGATGGGGTCTGCAGGAGTATGTCAAGGAATCCACGGATAAACATAGATGTAAATGAAGAAAAGAAAATAAGAAAAGCAAATTATATTTTTATTAGAGCAGAAAATTTAGTTTGGTGGCTGTAGAGTAGGAACATGTTGGGCACAATCCTTACAACTGGAGTTGTATTGTGCTCATCTTTCTTGGACATTCATTTTGGTTATGCATATGCAGTCATAAGAAGTGCACAAATTCTTGAAAATCAAGATTGAAGTGGAATAAACTATTGGCTGGGATGATTAAAAAGGTTATCATGCATGCACCTTGGAAAATATGGATTATCTTGGATGAAATCACACGTTATTTGATTAAAAAGATTACCAAATCTTTCGCGAGGCTTATAGAGTGGTTGATGTTCTTGCTGAAAGCTCACTTGCAGTCATCTCCAAAGTTGTGTCATTTTACTTTGCCATGTGATGCCCTATACCAATATTATATTCCCCTGTGTAATCCACAACTTCAATACCCAAAAACTATATGAAATGACGTCACTAGAAATGCTTGGCATGGCCGCATGCATCGGTGGTTATTAAAAAGAGATGAAAAACAGTGTCCATTTCAGGCTGATTACCTCATGTTTTTTGTAGTGGTATTATGAGTATCATTGGTTTGTAACATTAAATACAAATTGCAAATGCGTTGCTTCTTGGTTCTATTAATTTGTGTTATCTAAAAACGACATTGATGATCACACTTTTAATTGAACAAAACTTCAAAGAGAGATTATCACACTTTTAAGTAAGAAAACTTTCACACTTCATGCGATATTTTTTATGGTTAACAAACACATATTAATCAGCTAATATCATATAAGATTTCAAGCAGTCCAAACCAATTGACTCGGGAAAAGCCTTAGGATCTGGCAAAGAAATGAGCATTTTGAAAGAGCAATTTGAATTGCAAACGGACAACATTAAGTCAAAACTAGCTGTATTGATCATCTTCCTTCTAGTCTTAATAAAACCTCCCTATAAGGCTGTGACCACTGACCAACCACTTGAAGTCTTGAACTAATATGAAATGTTGTAAAATCTACAACCCCTCTACTAAATCCATAGAGAATAAACAAAAATAAAGTAGAGCATTGAACCAAATGAAAAGGCTGAAAATAATCATAGACTGATTAATCTTAATGTGGAGATATGTGTATCGTCTTCCCAAACACAACCATTTATTCTTGGCTTTGGGGTGGAAGTAAGATGGAAGTTTGGAAGTGAGACTTAGAGGCTAAGTCTCCTAAATCAGAGCTCAGGGTGATCCTCTACACCCTATACTCTTTATAAAAGTTTTAAGTCAATGCATTATTGTTGGGGTAATTGGCCCAGCATGGGTTAGGCCCAATACCCCTACGGGTAAATGTCACCCGCACGGCGTGAGCCGCACGACACGATATCCTTGAGCAAATCGCCTAGGCCATTGTGGATGGGCTCTTGGCCTGCTACCCCGAAAGGAATTCGCAGGAAAGAAAGGATTTGGCGGGAAATGCATTTAATGTACTGGATATGGAAGATTTTATGGTTGGGGCTAGCCACTCAGGGCTCACCACGTCATTACCACAATCTACCACCTTGGTAGTATAGATAGTACTACCTCCGTCCCACTAACATTGGGACAGAAGAAGGTGGCACGATTATTAAGAAAAATGAGTTTATGTGGTTGATATTGAATTGAAAAAGTAAAAATAAAGTAAGAATGATTTAGAGCCACACAAACTTTACCAAATTTGGTATGAGACAATCTTAGTGGGACTTCCCGAAAAGGTAAAATGAGACAATATTAGCGGGACGGAGGGAGTAGCATTTATTTCATTGTAAAGGGCTGACAACTTGTATTCGATAACATTAGCTTATCTCTCTGTTTCTTCTGTAACCTCTCAACTTAGAATAGAGGATCTACGCTCGACCCGGTAAGCATGTGCTGTAATTGTTCTAAATCATCAAAAGAAGTTGGCCCACTTTACCCCCTAATATCCACTAATATGCAACAAGGGTGAGTGTTGTGCCCTCGGACCGAGAGAACTTGAACAAAATTTCCTTAGCAAGGTCTCGTGTTAGATAGCACTCTACGAACTTGACTCCACTTCGAACAAGCAAAAGTGGTTAGACAATCATCCGAGCACACAAGAGACCTTTCTAAGCAGTTATGTGAAAGCAAGGGTTGCGCACCCTCACCTCTGCTGAGCCATCCAGTAGTGGCTGGTTGAACCCGGGCGGGTTGGGAGACCTACCTCATGCACTTGATCCCAGCTGATGCCCGCTGGGACCCGCAGGTGATGAGGGCGCTAGCTGAGACCCTGAGGAATCTGGCAAACCAGGCCAAAATGATGCGGAATAGATTGTATATTCCGCGGAGACAGAGCGCATCCCTCCATCTCTTATTCAACGTATACAATCTTTAGGGGGGAATTCGGGGGAATAGGAGGCCTCTCGCACCTTAGCCTTCATGAGGATAGGTAGAACTCCAGCTTCTCGAAGGCTTGGAGGTCGAGGTCGTAAGAGAAGTACATTGAACGAGTACTTGAGAGATTCAACATGAATGATGCCAAACCAGTTAGTGTTCCACTTGCGAATCACTTCAAGTCGAGAAAAATAACATGCCCTACATCCAAGGAAGAGATCAGCTAGGAGATGTTAGCAGTTATATTCTTCAGCAGTTAGAAGTTTGATGTACGCCATGGTATGCACAAGGTCAGACATCACATAAGTAGTGGGTACGGTGAGTTGTTTTCTCTCTAACCCTGAGAAGGAGCATTGGGAGGCAGTCAAATGGATTCTGAGGTACTTGAAAGGTACCACGAGGTTATGTCTTTGCTACGAAGGAGCCGATCAAGTCTTGGAAGGCTACACAGATGTTGATATCGCCAGAGATATTGATAGTAGAAAGTCTACTTCAGGATATATCTATATTTTTGCAGGGGGGCTGTGTGACACCGCACCCGAACGTCCTCAAAAATCCAATTAAAAAATTTAAAGTTTATGTATTGAATTTCCGATTCCCAAACAATTGTAAAACAATTTATGTTTTACGTAGTGCATGATTGAATATTGTACTGTTCAAACTCGTATATTAGTGTCGGGTTTTGCAAATACTTATTTGGACCTTATTAATGAACATAAGATCCCAACATTACCTAAATAATGTTACATAACCTTGCAAGACAAGTTGAGGAAGGTCGGGCGGCCCAAACATTATATTGGGCCCAACCTGCTAAAAATAGCAAGTATTCGAGAAGGGCGTTCTAGGCCCACTCGGGGGTGACCCACACGGCTAGTAGTCCAATAATATGAATGACAAATGTCAAAATAAGTGATAGAATGATTAGAGAAGAATACAAATGTCTATGGTCTCATCTTTGACATTATTGAGCTAAATAATGAGAGTATGATTTTTCCTTCTATAATATTCATCATGTAAATTATTGGGATGATCCTACACATATTGGGGATCAATAATATGATGTATGAAGTTAACTTGGCATACATAAATTATAATGAGTACAAAAAGACATCTCATGACAAAGATAAAACAATAGGATCCATCTTTTCATTTTGGAAGTATTGGTAGGTATTTTGGACCCCAAATTGAATGTGATCATTTGGTAACCATTCCAAATGACCTTGGTACCTGCAAGAAAAAGAAAAATGGGTGAGACAACTATGTGGGGCGGACATTTTGACTTAAGAGCTACAACATTACAAAAAGGAAATAAAAGAGGAGGTCCACACCATGTTTGATTGCAATCAAACATCCTACCCTTCTTTTGTGTGAACCACATGCTATCTTATCATGATTGAGGCCTCCTATACACTCCCCCTACACCCCATTCGAACCCCAAAGAGATAATAGAAAAAAAGGATCCACACAACTCAAGAGAGAAGGAAGGAAGAGAGCAGTCCGCAGCTTCGTTCTTCAGTACGTAGTGCTGCTTGTTTGATCTATAACTTGCGTTTCACTCGTCCAAATAAAGCGTATAAAATACCAAAAGAAATCTCTCAAGACGAGGAACCCGTGAAGGTCTGGTTTGCATCAATCGGAGTAGTGGAAGGCTTCCAAAACGTCCGAGCAAAACACAACCTCGCAGAAACGGATTTACTCTTTTAAAGTGAGTTTAAACCCCAAAACCTTTCCTTTCATTTTCCAATTGATATGAACGATTGGTGGAACTATTATACACTACTCCAAGTGTATATTATGTCCTTACAAAGTTATTTTATTGATGTAAATGTTAGATACTAACCTAGAGCAAATCTTGGAAAGACTAGGAACGGAGTTCGCCGGAAAACACCCATTCTAGGGGCTGTTTTCGTATCGACGTTTAGGGGTTGAGCTAGCACTTTGAGGAGGATTTTTAACACTCATATTTAAGCAAGGAATCAGTCCTTAATCCACCTTGACCGAAGCTTTGACCGTTGGATCAAGAAGGAAAAGTTTAAAGCTCAATTAAGGTGAAGATCGACATCTAATTGCTTACAACTTGTAGGTTAAGCATGAGATTACCTAAATTCCTAAATCATAATTTTTCATGGATTATGATGATTAAATATTGATGAAATATTGATATAGTTGCCAAAGAATGAAATTGGGAATGATTTGAGGTTGTATGAATAATATGAGATTAAATGAGTTATAAATGAACTATTGTGTGAAATAGGCATTTTACTCATGTATGAATTATGTGGATACATAAATGGATCTTTATGTATTGAGAGTGAATACTTAAGATGCTGCTACATAATTATAAATATGTAGAGAATTACAAAAAAGGAGAATATTTGTATGATAATAATAATCTTAATAGTATTGAAATACTAGTTAGTGGTTATTGGAAATTGTTGATAGAATTGATCCTAGGGATTGGATTGCATGAAAGGCACTTGAATATACTTCAAGTGTATATAATGACTTAGTATGAAGCTAAGGTTAAGTTATGGGCAGCCTTCAAGGATGACCCATGGTATTTTATTGATATGTCAATTCTAGGCATAGGTTTGATTAGGAATTGGACCTTGGTACATGGTGATGTGATAGAGTCGAGCTCTAGGATGCATGGTAAGGTGGTACACTTGTAGTCTATGTATTGTATAACTAGAGCCGAGCTCTAGGGCTTGCGTGGTGATGTGATAGAGCCGAGCTCTAGTACGCAAGGTAAAGAAATTGACCCAAGTGACATGAATTGTATGGTGATGTGATAGATCCGAGCTCTAGAATACAATGTCATGTATTAGGGTTGGACTCTATGAGTTGTCGTGGCTTATAGTCACGGGGAATGGGAATGGTGATTTCTAAATGAACATGGGCCCACGGGCCGACTACTTGACTTTTATATAAAGTAAGTATATTTTCAAACGGGGTAACTTAGGGTTACAACCATATTGTACTATCACCCTATTTGAGGGTCTTGTGTTTGAAGTACTTGTTGTATATCTATTAGATGCCATCCACACCAGTACTTTATAGCCCTATAGAGTACTGACCCCTTCGGGGGCGTCCCACCACCATTTTAGGTTGAGGCTAGAGCTTGCATCATGTGCTCGTTGATTGAGTGATCCCTCGGAGAGAAGACTTGGTTCGTGCTTCCTCCATTCTATTTGAAACATTAATAGATTTGCTCATGGATATTTTACTTTAGGGCCTGCGTGCTCATGA